GTGAGAACTGCAGCAGTCCTGGAGTCTTGTTAGCAGCAAGGTAAAGCCTCATTCTGCATGGACTTGTATTGATGCACTGATTAAAACCTGAGCCCTTCATCTGTGCTCTCCACAGTCCCCCCTTTCAGCTGACGTTTTACAATCAAGGCCTTGGTGTGTTTAGTAAGCTGATTCCTTGAGAGGTAGCAGCATTTGGCAGTGTCTGCCTCAGCACCTCGAGTTCGGGCCCTCTCTTTGCTGTAATCTGATGCCCTCTGTGGTTCTTTGCCCCAAGGTGCTACAGCTTGGGTCTACCCCTACTATTGCCACTTCACTGGGGGTGAGGTGAGGGTGGAGATGTTGCCCCTTTTGCTCCAAGCACCACCCTTGGGCAGCTATGGAATCACTGGCCTGGACCTCTCCAAGTGGCAGATTTTATATTCAGCTCCCAAAGCAAATGCCACTGGATGGTCCACATGGCATTGAACACGTCCTAAACCTGTCCCAAGCCTAGGACTATATTCCATACTTTTTTGCCCGGGAGCCCAAGACAGGGACTCGAGTGTTACCCTCAGGCCTGCCTTCCAGCCACTGTGCCCAGCGTCCAGCCCCCTCTCATTCTGCTGCTGCTGCTGCTCTCTCCTTTTCCCCAGCCCTCCGTTTGTCTACTCTGTTTGTGTAGATTCAGTTATGTCTGATGGGATAGTTTTACGCAGTGCATTAGCACCCGGAGTTTGTCACTGTCTTTTCACTGATGATCTTTATAGTTCTAGGTTTTACATTTAGGTCTCTGATCTGTCTTGAATTAACTTTTGTATATGGTATGAGCTATGGGTACTGTTTCGTTCTCATACAAACAGATGCCCAGCTTTCCCAGCACTGTTTATTACAGGCTGTCTTCTCCTTTCACTGTGTTTGTGTTGCAGCCTTTGGACAAAGGTCAGCTGCCTGTCAGTGAGTGGAGTTACTTCTAGGGTCGCGGTTCTGTTCAGTTGATCTAGTTGTTTGTTACTGTGCTAATACCCACCTGTTTTGACCCCGTGGCTGTGTGGTAGGTTTTGAGAGAGGGAAGTGTGAAGCCACTACTTTGCTCTTCTTTAGTAGTGCTTTGCTTACCCTCTGCTCCTCCTTGCCATCCAAAGTTGATGAATGTTTTCCCATCTCTTTAAAGAAAGATGTTGGAGTCAGGATTGCATGTTAGGTTTAGATCTCTTTGTGTAGTTTTGACGTTTTCACAAGGTTAGATCTCATATCCACGAACAAGGTATGCTCTTTCACTCTTGTCCGTCTGTGGAGTTCTCGTAGTGGTGCTTCATAGTGTTCTTTGAGTAGGTCTTTGTTTCTCTGGTGAGGTGTATTCCTAAGTATTTCATCATTTGGATGGCTATTGTAAATGCTGGTTTTCCTGAGTTCCTTTCCAGAGCTCTCTGTTAGTGGAAAGGAATCAGACTGATTTTTCTCTTTTTGTTTTAAAACATTTTATTAGGGGCTCATACAACTGTTATGGCAATCCATACACACATCAATTGTGTAAAGCGCATTTGTACAACATTCTCAAAACATTTTCTCTCCACCTAAACCCCCGACATTAGGTCCTCATTTTTCCCCTCCCTCCCCGCTCCCCCC